TATAAATTAAATACAAGGGTGATTATGTAATTTGATCTTTATGTAACTCCCTAATAATTAATTGGGAGTTACAAATCTTAAAGATCCCTCTAATTGATCATTAGGTAATTCTGATTTTTATCTTCATTTGTGTTCATGATCGTGATTTCAAGTGATGTTCTACATATAATGATATTCGTTTTGTAAGTGTAAAAGACTTCCGTATTGTCCGAGTAATATGGATAATAATATTGTAAATCATATTGATAACAATGGAAATAACAAAGTTAAAATCAGATACGACTACGGTCGAAATTCGAATTCCGATGATGAAGAAGATGATCAAAGCGTTCCAATTGGTAAGTGATTAGTGTGACATTTATTTTGTTTAAATGAATAGCTATTACCGTTGTGAACCATTAAATATTCTTGCAAATATAGTTGAATTCGTTGAAAAATCTGATGCACATTCTTCATCTGCATTTGTTTAGGGATTAATTTAGTTGATAGAGAAATAAATATGAACAGATTATAAGAGATATGGACACACATTAACACATACGAAACTGCACAAATCAAATAGATATAGATGTTATGATTCATTAGTGTTCAGCTGTATGAAATGCATTAGATTTTCATATTGACACACATGAACAATTACATCACATATCAAGAGATACTAAGACATAAGGACACACGCAACATATGAACACATAACAAAGACAGAATATGTGGATATCGATACATATGCACAACTACAACATATGAATATGAACAGGATTTTTGAGTAGTATGTCATGTCGTCGTTCATATCGATACATATGCACAACGCGTTCACATGAACATGTGAACAGGCTCTGTCATTCATGTGAACAACGTCTTTTTACATTTTTACCCTGTGAATCCATTGTTCACATGTTATTAATTAATATATTAATTAAATAATTAAATTCTTATTCTCATTAAACCACAACCGTTAGATGTTCAAAACAACGACCAATATCGGTTAACAAAGTTAACACGATAATCTTGGTTAGTATATATATATATATATATATATATATATATATACATACTTGGGATCATATGAGACCAATGCTTTTTCGTGAGACTCGTAAGATCAATTCTCAACCCTTGGATTAGATCTACAATCGTCGGATCTGAACATTCATAAATGCCACGAGACTTCTCAATAATTACAAAATTGCCACCGTGCAACTTTAGACCATATTAGCTTATAAAGTTGATCAATGAACATAAATTGGTCTTACGGGTCTCACAAAAAACCGTTGGTCTCACGTGAACCCAACCCTATATATATATATATATATATAT